CTCTTCTAATCTCTGATTATGTTGCTCCACCGTTATTCCCGTAATCAAAACATCATCCATATAATAAAAAACACCCTCTAACCCTTGAACCGCAGCCATTGTCCTTTGGAAAATCGGTGCCGAAATACTTAATCCAAATGGCAATCTACAAAACGTAAACAATCCTTTAAATGTCGTTATGGTTAACAATTTCCTCGTAGATTCTTTCATAGGTAACTGCAAATACGCACACGAAAAATCAATTTTTGAAAAATACTTCGCCCCTTTCAAATTCGCTAAAATTTCTTCAATTCTCGGTAACGGATACTTTATTTCCACAACCCACGGATTCAAAGTTACTCTGAAATCCGCACAAATTCTTAACTTGCCATTAGCTTTCCTTATAGGCACTAATGGAGTTGCCCATTCGCTATATCCAATTGGACAAATTATCCCATCTCTTAACCACTTATTTAATTCCTTTTCCATTTCTGCCCTCCATTCAAAAGGTACTCTACGTACAGCACAATACTGTGGACTATATCATTCCTTCAAACGTATATCTACCTCATAATCTACTAAACAACCTAATTCTTCATTAAAAATCTCTTTATATTTATTTACCAAATCCCTAACGGAATCCTTTAAAATTCCTAAATCATGACTTTCATCAATTTCTTTTTTACATTCTTAACAAAATTTTTTCTCACCAATTTCACCGGAAATTTTTGCGATACAGGTATTTTCTCCCTTTCTAAATTTGAGTCTTTATAAATCTCATCACAATTTATATAATTATTCTCCATCCTCGATTTCCCTGATTATTTTATTGTCTATTTCCAAATTAAAATTTTCATCATCAATTCCCAGAATACTTCTCACTTTCAGATCAACCGAAATATTTTCAATTTCTAAATCACTATTTTTTTTAATTTTTGAATTTTCCAAAATATTATTAACTCTTCCAAATCAACCGAAATATCTTCAATTTCCAAATCAATTTTTTTTTAAATTTCCATATCAGGTTTAGATATATCAATTTTATTATCAAAAATATCAAGTTTTTCCTGACCCATTTTATCACTTATAATTTTTTCATTTTTCTGAACTTCCGCAGAATTATTTAATATATTTTTAATTTCATCATCCTTTAGTACTTTACTTTCCACAAATTCATTTTCTTTATTATCCAAAATTTTTTGATTATGATTTATCATACTCTCAATTTTATTATTTTCTATAATTTCTTTTATTAACTTATTACCCTAGTTTTTAACATCCACCTCTTTTATAGATTTTTTTAATACTTCGATATTTTTATTTTCATTTTTCCCTTGAAATATATTCAACAAAATATTTTCTAAACCAAATTTTGATATCCAATTCCATCCCAAAACTGTATCAATTTTTTCTTCTAATACCCACAAATCCAAATTTATTAATTCGTTATTTATTAATACCGATAAATTTACTTTTCCCAACGCCATAATTTCTGAACCATTCAATTGTTTTATCCTCATTCTATCTTTAATTATGTGTTCATTCGGCCATAACTTGTAAAATTCATTATACCCCATCACAGATATTGTTGCCCCTGTATCTAATAACATCCAAATCTCTTTATTTCCTACATTCATTTTTACTCTTGGACATTGATTAAAGTTTTCATTATCTTCCAACTTAAAGATAGGTAAATTACTAATATGTATATTTTTTCGTGTTTCATTTTCCAACATATTTTTATAAACCCCATAAGTGTTATTATTTCCTTCATTTTTTCTTTCTATTTCAATATGATCATTTATCTTATTCTTATATATATTTTCTTTCAATAGATCCAACTCCTTTTTTGATGTAACTCTTCCAAATGTTTTTATTTCACTATCATACAGTCATCCTACTGTACAATCCTTCGCATAATGCCCAACATTTCGACTTATAACAAGTTATATCCTCTCTATTAATTCTTTTAATTATATTTTTCTGCTCATTTCCTATGTATTCCACCGCTGGAAACGCTTTGCAAACACCTTGTTCATTTTTATAACATTTATCCTTAGTATGTCCTAAATTCCCACAATTTTCACAAGATATCTCATTTTTTTGGTTCCCATTTACCAATTTGTCCGCTGGAACATAACATTCTTCTGCATTATGACCCTTATTTCCACATCTTTTACATATTTTCGGTATAACTCCTGGATTTCCCTTGGCATTACATTCTCTGCTTAAATGCCCAAATTTTCCACAATTATAACATTCTTTTTTACTTTTATAATTCTGTTCTATTCTTTTATTTACATTTTTTTCTTCCCCTAACCCTAACCCTTTTTTATTTTTATTTCTGCCATTTCTATTTCTAGTATTTCTTCCTTCTTTCTCCTTAATTCCAATTTCTCTTTTTCCTCTCTTTTCTTTAATTCTATTTCCTCTGTTTCCCTTCTTTCAGTTTCCCATTTTATTTTCATCTCTCTTTTCAATTTCTCAATTTTAATTTCTTCTATTAATTTCCCTTCCATTTTCCTTTTTCTTTAACTCCATTTTCTCTTTTTCCTCTCTTTTCTTTTATTCTATTTCTTCTATTTTCTTTTTTTCCGCTTCCCATTCTTCTCTCATACCTTTTTTCAATTTTTCAATTTCTATTTCTTTTTTTTCTTGTTCTATTTCTTTTTTTTCTTGTTCTATTTCTTTTTTTTCTTGTTCTATTCTTTTAATTTCATCATTTTCATTTTCCTTTTTTTTAATTTCAATTTCCATTTCCCTATTTTCCTGTTCAATTTGCTTTACACATCTTATTCTATTCAATTCTTTATTTCTATTTCTTTTATAACATAAATATCCTCCAATCCACAACATTATTAATACAATTATACTCACATATATCTCTCCCTGTGCCAACTCTTTTAATTCAAAATAATTTTTAGTGGTAATTATTTTTTTATTCCACATTTTTTTTTAAAATTTTTAACTATTTTTTAACTATTTTTTAACTATTTTTTTTTTAATTTCAATTTTTTATATTATAGTAAGCTTATTAGTAATTTTACTAAAAAAATTTTAACTATTCTAAAAGAAAAAACATAAACTATAGCTATAATTATTAATATTACCAAAAAACAATTCATATAAATTTATATATAAACAAAAAAAAATATTTTTACCTATTTTTTTGAATTTTTCTCTTTTTTTTTAATACTTTTTAAATAATTTTTGGCCTTTAATCTATATAATGGTAGTCAATGGTGTTCCGCCAGGTATCTTTAAATATGAACGGCACCAAACTGTTAGAAAAACGTAAGAAGTAGTAAGAAGACACTTTTTTATCTTTTAGATTTTCTTAGAGTCAAATACGAAATATTTTTATTCTTCTTTATTATATATATTTTTCACAATTTTTAAACCAAAAAAAAAGATAATTTTCTTTTACAATTTCGGAAAAACTTTAAAACAAAAACTTTATGTATCAAAATTATAATATCAACATCAATAATAAAAATCGCGAGTATTTTTCTTTACAAATTAATCAATAACCTAATTTTTACAAAAAAAATCAATACATTTTCGTATCCTATTACAACAGTTTCGTTTTTAAAAATTAAAAATCGGATATTAAAGGATAAAAAGAGGTTAAGAAATGTGTTGAGTAAAAGTAATTAATTTTAAAAATTAATAAAACGGGAAAAAAATAGTAGATAGAAATAAATGATCAAAAACGTTAGAAAATTAAGGAATGTGAAATTGTTTATGAGAAAGCAACTGGAATGCGTTAAGTAAAGATTATGTGAATTAAATAATAGTGGAAATGAAATAATAAATACTTTTAAAAAAAATGTATTTTTGTGAAGTTATTTGTAAAAAAAAAAGGGATTTTATTAAAAAATATTTTTTGTAGCAAAATATTTTTATTGAAATTTTCGTGATTATATTTTATTAAAAATCAAAAAAAAAATTATTAATTAAGTTTGAGTAAAATTGTTAAAGTGATTACGTTCTTGTTATAAAAAAAAGAATAATAATTGTATCTTGGATAATGTTAAAAGGAATGAATAGTGATTACATTTTGGATGTAATTTTTAAAAAAAAATCGGATTGACTCTTTGAAATATTCCTCCAATCAACTACAATGATTCTGCTCAATTAACTATAATGATGCTAGAGTAATAATACTATAAGATAAAATGATCAGGACTGATTAATGATGCCATGGATCAATCAAGCTATGTCTTATTAACTAAATTTTTGATAACAATCAAAACAATCGTATAACCAAAAATCAAATCATTGTATACGTCACAAATGAACGATACAATAGCAAGCAAGATGATAACTTACGACAGTAACGAATAGATATCAAGATAAACATCCATGTGAAGTTTTGATTGGCTCAACGGTAATGCTGTCACGGATATTATTGTCGAACATGCAAGAAAAAGAAATTTAAAAAAAATCTTAAATAAGTGATTCATGTATTAATTTTTGTACGCTGATTAATTTTTGTTAATAGTTACGGGAACATTGTGGCATGTACTATCTTGAAAAGGGTGTACATGTTATATTATGATAAATATTTATCTATTATATAAAAAATAATTGATAACAAGACAATATTGAAAAAAAATTATGATATATTTTATTTTTAATTCTTCGATTTTTTTACGTTGTAAAGTGTTGGATTTGAATGAAATGAAATAAAATATTAAAAAATGTAAAACAAAATCTATTCTCAAAAATCTATAAATCAGAGCTTCTAACAATAACCTTATTTAATATGTTGATAGAAACTTACGATTATTTTAGCTTGTAATTTTGCTTTTGTTTAAATTGTTTTTGTAATATATTTTGATACATTTTATTTTTGTTTAATCGAATTTGTAAAATAATAGTTTTTAGTGAGTTAGCTAATTCTTTTTTAGATTAATGTAAAAATATAATAAAAACTTTTACACCATATTAATAGATTGAAACCTTGGTTGATTTGATATGGAAATCACCATAATTTTTTTTTGTTAAAATTGACAGATATCACCACTCACAAGTCATGTGTCTTTGTTGCTTTTAACAAAACTACGAAACGATGATCGATAGAAACTTGGTAAATTTATTAGACTGAATAATTAATTACATTTATACTAGATAAATGAATATGAATGGTTTTTAAAAGAGGATACTAACAAAAGCTTAAAATATCTTCTTTCATTAATAAAAGTTTATAATATTTATTTATTATCTATATAGAATAAAGGAATGTGGTAAAATATATCCTTTGCATCTATGGGGTTTGTATACATATGTGTATATATATAAATTAATTTTTAGACAATGAAAACTACTCAAAACCACTTATTTACCATTTAATAAGTGAAAAGTAATTAATTAAATTAAGTTGCATTATTTTGATATAAATTGTAACAAATAGCATAGATTGCTCCTTAACCATTATGGGTGACAATATTCAACAAATGGTTTTTTAATATGTAATAATTTTAATTTAGTATCATTTGTAAAGGAGCTAAAAATTAATCCTCATTTAAATAATCAAACACAATATACCATATCATCAAATCCTATTAATTTAAATATACAACCTGATTTACCATGGAAACTTCAACAAGTTAGATATTTGATTATTATATTTTCTTTAATAAAATTAAGGTTCAAGATTCATCTAATTTTCTCTACCTCTCATATGAATATTTGAGAAATATAATAGATCAAAATATTACCTTTACTACAATCACTGATTTAATGAGAGTTTATATATCATTTTTTATTTTATTTTATTAAATATTGAAGATTATAGATGACATGTATATATATTTGGTAAAAGGGAGGGATTCTTTATTATTACCAAGAAGAAAAAATTTTGAAGAGATATCTTCATCCCCTACTATGGTTATTTATATATTATATTTTCTTGTTAAAATTAAGTTTAGAAAATTTTAAAAAATTATTTGCCAAAAGGTGTTGATATTAGTTTTTATCTAAATGGTTCCAGACTTACATTAGCTTTATATGTTGCACCAAAACCTGGAGAAATAAATACCACATTAAAGAATAACCTAAGCTATCCTAATTATCATATTTCTCAAGTTATTCTTAAATTATTTCTTATAGAGTTAAAATAAGGGGCCTGGATTTAAAGTATTTTTGTTTTCTTGTTTAATTCTCATTCGAATATTTTGGGGAAAATATTCAATTTTCATTATTTAATAAATATAAAATTTGAGCATTAATATTTTCTCTAAGAGGTTATATCATTTATGTGTATTGTGTTAGTATAAATTAACACTAACTTGGTGTCAAAATTTATCATTGAAATTTAAAACTTTAATTTTATATTTGATTTTATAAGAGTTAAAAAATGTTTTTTTATAATGACATAAATGGGTAAAAATATAACACATGAATTTTTTGAGGAAAAAAAGATGAATTAAATCTACGCCAGATTTTATATTTATATTATTTTTATAGTATTATTATCCGAGGTATAAGACATAAATCTTGCCCCTCCCCCCTTCACTATACCTACAAATATACGAATCGAATCATTTATTATTCGTATTTGTATGAATAATAAAATGATTATTCGATTTGTCAAGTTTTTCGGATTGTTTCCTCCTTTAACGACATTCTGTATTTTGTAGCCATATGAGGTCCAACAGAAAAGAGTCGCTCACATGTAGTGTTGTTAAACGGCTCGTTTTGAGCCGATTTTTAAAAACGGCTAAATCAATATTTCATCCAGAATAATATTATGCAAACCTGAAGATTTTGTTTGTAGAAGGAACAAAGGTTTGGACATCTATTAGCAAAATCATGAAGCTTAGCAAATATTTTTCTGGCTAAAATATTGAGTTAGCCGCTTTTATAAATCGGCTTAAAACGAGCCGTTTAACAACATTACTCACATGGGGTTGAAGATCCCTTTATCGACAATATGTCCTTCGCCATTTTAGATAACACGGGAAAACGGTCTCCATGTAGTTTCCATCATTCTAGTGGGTTTTTATTTGACGTTATTCTCACTTCTTTCAAATATGTGTCAATTTCAGAAATTGGCATAACATTCTGTTTAAAAATGACATCCATATTTGATTGTATTAAAGGTTTACTTTTTGATACATCATATTTAATTTTATATTCATCAAACATTTTCTCAAAATTATTAAATATAGTTGTAACATTTATATTATAAGATATAGGTAGGCACTCAAGAAATTCCAGTTTAAGTCTTGGATCTAATATTGCAGATATAATTGTTTGGAAATCTGTTAAATTATAATATGATACTATTTTTTGTTGCGCATTAATTGCGTTTATAAGCGTATTATCAAAGAGACTTAGGTGCACAATTAATGATATATAAAAGGGGATGACCAGATTAAGTGTAGGATATGTTTCTCCTGATATGGCAACAGTAAAATCATAAAATGTTTTTAAGTTTAATTAAATCTATATAAAATTTAATATAAGTACAAGTAATAGTATTTTGATATCATTATTGTTGTGCATATGATTTTTATTTATATCATTATCAAAATATGATTCAATAAATTTATTATTATAAGATTTTTGATGGAATCGTTTGTAATGATTAATCAAAGTTGAAGTAGTTTTTTTTTACACTTAATTTCAACCTGACAAATCTTACATCTTGCAGTTTCTGTTGATGCTTGGTAAATATAATGTTTCCAAATATTTGCATTTTTCTGTCCTCCCGATCCTGACTGTATAGAATTTGAGGTGGATGATGAATATTGGTTTTGTTCTCCAATGCTTTCTGATTCAGAAATATCTATTATACCAATAGGCTGAATATCTATTTAATAAATTAAATATTATTATAATATTTATAGCATAGCCAGCCAACCCAATATGACAATCAATAAGAGTCAGTAATATATATATGTCAAAATCATCAGATCCTATAATCATCATATCAGAATTTTCTTATAAAATATTTTTTACAAACTGCTTATACAATTGATAAATTATCCAAAAATGTAGATGAGATGATAGCTTATAAAAAATTTATCACAAAATTATATATTTTAGTGAATTTGGATATAAATGAAAAATAAAGTTTTAAGTTTAAAAATACTATTACATGTACTTATATTAAATTTTATATAGATTTACTTATAAAATATTTTTTACAAAAATGATTTGGATTTATAGGTTTTAAATCCAAACACTGTTCATAAAATTTAATTATATTGGGAAAAGAATCAAGAATATAATTTTATAAAGATAATATAAATTTTTGTGAATTTTGATTCATAGTAGAATAATGAAAGTTTTAGATTATTTGATTTGGGCAATAAGAAATTCCTACTGAGATTCAATGATAATCTTTTATCCTAAACACTACTTTGTTGTTATTAACATAAACTAAAATAATATATAAGTCAAAGTAATATTCTTTTTAATGTGGGGAAATAATAAATTGTCAAAAAGCTATGCAACTTAAATAAGTACGAAAAACTCACATTAGCAATATTTTACAAATAAAGTGGTAAAAACTTTAGGCAAAAAGTCAAATTTATGATTTCTCCATCATCAAATGAAAGAGAAATATCAGGTTTGCCCATCATTCTTGATGTGATGGGATCAGTTTATTATAATTGTATATGTTATGTGTTATATAAATTACCTTCTTCGTCCATCTCTATCGTAAAAGAAATTTCTAAAGTAATGGTCTATTATGAGATTTGGATATAAATGAAAAATAAAGTTTTAAGTTTAAAAATACTATTACATGTACTTATATTAAATTTTATATAGATTTAATTAAACTTAAAAACATTTTATGATTTTACTGTTGCCATATCAGGAGAAACATATCCTACACTTAATCTGGTCATCCCCTTTTATATATCATTAATTGTGCACCTAAGTCTCTTTGATAATACGCTTATAAACGCAATTAATGCGCAACAAAAAATAGTATCATATTATAATTTAACAGATTTCCAAACAATTATATCTGCAATATTAGATCCAAGACTTAAACTGGAATTTCTTGAGTGCCTACTTATATCTTATAATATAAACGTTACAACTATATTTAATAATTTTGAGAAAATGTTTGATGAATATAAAATTAAATATGATGTATCAAAAAGTAAACCTTTAATACAATCAAATATGGATGTCATTTTTAAACAGAATGTTATGCCAATTTCTGAAATTGACACTTATTTGAAAGAAGTGAGAATAACGTCAAATAAAAACCCACTAGAATGGTGGAAACTACATGGAGACCGTTTTCCCGTGTTATCTAAAATGGCGAGGGACATATTGTCGATACAGGGATCTTCAACCCCATGTGAGCGACTCTTTTCTGTTGGAGCTCATATGGTTACAAAATACAGAATGTCGTTAAAGAAGGAAACAATCCGAAAAACTTTATGTTTGAAAAATTGACTGTTGTCAGATTTCTACATTATAGATATGAATATTATATTGATTTTTCTATGCTTCTATTTTGTCTCACTAATAAAATTTGTTTGTCTTTATCCTTAGTTAAATTTTACAAAATAAATTTTATAATAGATCTTTTTTAATTGGTAAATAAAATTTTCGAATCGAATAATCATTATTTTTCATACGAATACGAATAATAAATTATTCGATTCGATTCGTATTTTTGTAGGTATACATATGGATGTACTAAATTTTTGAAGAGAAAAGAGGATCTAATTTCTAATCTTTCCATGCTAGCCAAAAGATTATGTTCCGGCAATTAGCGCGCCCAGTACCGCTGGTTTGACGTTGAATTCAAGTCATCCTTATGTCCTACAAATTTAAATAAATTATTTTTATGCATGATAACTATAAAATTAGAAAATTGAGTTTGAATTTATAGTTTTCTTTTCAATAAATATTTAAATATATTTGTAGTCTATACGTTATTTTTAATTTAGTTTTTTTGTAAAAAAATTTATGTCGCTGCACCGATTTACGCTGCCTATGTCGACGGTGGCTAAAAAGCGGCTCGCCACTGGCTGCCGATTAATTTTTAAAACTTGCGCCAGCCGCCGATATTTGCGCAACGGTCTATTTACACCTAATTAAAAAATATCATAATGGCATTTATTTCTACGTCATATTATTTGTATTTAAATACTTTTTAATTTTTTTAGATATTATATGAGAGACCTGCAAAGAGGTACCATTAGCACGGCCCGGTTTTTTTTTAAAAATAAATTTTTCGGCCCGGACTGGGTTTTATATTTTTAGGCCAAGCCCGGATTTTTTTAAAATATATAATATTTATTTTTTGAGTTAATAATGGCGATTTAAAATATCTGACTTGGCTGGAGTATTTAAAAAAATTAAAATACTGGCGGGGTTTAGTGCCAGGCCTTCAGATATCTTATTTATATATACCAGAGTTGTTAAAAGATACTTTTTAAATTTATCTAGATACAGATACAGCTTCTAAAAAGTTATATTGATACAGATACAATTTAAATTAGAATTCTATTGTGAAAATTCATGAAATGATCTAAAAAATTTATTGACTCGATATCACATTTATCAAAATATAACTAAAATAATGATTTTTAGATATTAATATAATATATGATTAATATAAATAATTATTATATATCAATAATAAAATAATATAATATATGATTAAATGATTATAAATAATTATTAGTCTTCAGTAACAACCACTGTCTGTCGACAAATTATATTTTTTTGTGGAGCTAATGTTTTGACCATTTTTATAAATGAAGGATTTTCAACAATTGAAAATGGCTGAATGCAATCTATAATAAAATCAGTTATTAACTCATCTAAAGTGGTTTGGGTTAAAGTCTGAGGTCTCTTGGAAAAATATCAATGGACGATGAGCCTAGTCCAATATTTTCTTTAATAGATTTATTCTCCTTCCCCTTTTTATTTGGATTAAGAGTGTTTGATGTTTTCTCTTAAAATTTAATTATAATTGTAAACATTTATTTAGTATCTATACCCTTAAATGTTTTACAATGTTGCAAGTTGAGGTAATGCTAACTGAAATTTGCATATTTTTTGGTAGACATGGCAAACATTTTACTAACATAGATTTGTTTTCCTTATTTTGAGATATTATTTTAAAATATATGGTCTATAAATTGGCCATGGAAGAATGTCGTCATTTTTGTCATCAATATTAATCTTAAAAATTAATATAATAGAATAAAATAAAATACCAATTTCATTGCAATTAAAAATGGCAAATTATATCAAAATTTGCTTGTTATTGATAACTCGGACATAATATTTAATTATTATTTATATATAATTTTTTAATATATATATTAATAAGTTATATCAGAGGAATTTGGTCTGGGGGGTGGGGGGAGGATATTAAAATTTTTAAGAAATATTGTTTTTTAAAAATATCAAGCATAAATTTATTAGGACTAATAACTATTTCTAATACACAATTTTAAATTTATGTGAATTATAAAAAAATTATATATAAAGAATCACTTAAATGACCCAAAATAGAAATTTGAATATTTTGAGCCTTTACACAAAAAGTTTCTTAAGAATAATTGCATTTTATATGTTATATATTTACAATGTAAAATCCAATCTTCGTTGTGATTGAGCTAATTTTTCAATTATCTCATCCTTGCTTGTCGTCAAATGCCTATGAATATTCAAAAGATCCAAACCTTTCAATCTACTTTCAAATGTTGTACTTCTTGGTATGTTTTTCAGAGACCTGTAGGCCCGGCCCCCGGGCTGGATAGTATTTTAATTTTTTTAAATATACCCGGGCCGGGTCCAAATTTTTTAAAAAAAAAACCGAGTCGGGCCTAAAATTTTTTTAAAAAAATCCAGGCCGGGCCGTGCCCTGCAAATGGTACTTCTGCAGGCCTCTGTTATTCTTCTTAAAAAAGAGAATGTTCTCTCATTAGTTTACTAGTGGGAAGAGTTTATAAACCCTTTTAATACATTGGGAATTTAATCTAAAATGTGTTTGAAATAATGCAGAGCATCCATACGGGACTATATCACCATTGTTAATCTTATGAACATAGTTATTCAGCTAGTAAGGCATTATAAGATATTTTAACATCTTCATAATAAAAATCTAACAAATATTTTTTTTTCTATCACCATCTGAAAAAGGTTGGGAAGGCTTTTGTGTAAGTAATATTTGCAGATTAGTAAGTGCTGCATGATGAATTAAAAATTCATTTACTTGGGTTATAAATGTATCTGTATTTAAGATTTACTCTTCTACTGATCCTATATTAATGTTTTAACGATGAGCTTGCCTTGCTACAAATCGAGGGAGACAAATATTAAACACGTATAGCTCTGCTTTTGACTCAACAATAAAATATGAAATTCTTCATCAACATTAGCCCTAATTTCCTTGAGTTCTGATAAAATGCTCTCCGCTATTCTCATCTTCTTAATCAAGTCAATGTCATGTTTTTGAAAAGTAATACTTAAATAGTTGTATAATTAAATAATACATTCTAATGAGAAATAAAACTTGGAATAAGCATTGAATTCAATAATTTTCTTGCTTCTGAGGAAATATTTCTTTCAGGCCAAGCAAATAATTGGCTCTTCTAACTCCTTAAAAGCTGTTACTGCTTGATGGCAGAGACTCTATCTCGTTGGACAAGGTTGCAATTTCTTTTTACCTGTTGGACAAGAAGTTTCAGAAATAACAATAATTTGACTAGAAATTTGAAAATGGTAGATAAATATTACGCCACTAAAAATTTGAAAATAATAAGTAAATATTATGCCGGAAAACTTGAAATCTAAATTAATTGATAAAATAACTTATGAATGTGATAATAATTATAATAAAATATATATTTAATATGAGATTCTAATATTAACAAATATAAACAATATTATTTTTGAAAAATATATCCGGCATCTGCATTTTTTGGCTTGGGGGGGGAGATTTGTCCGCTTGCCCCCCCCCCCCCCCGCTGCATACGCCAATGAGTTATATGCTCATATGAAATAAATTTTACATTCAAGTATTTTTATTTATAATATAAAAAAGCGTTAAATAGAAGTATATCAAAATGTATCTTAAAAAGTATCTAAAAACAAATACAGATACCTCTAAAATAATATCTAGATACAGATACCACATTTTTATATCTAGATACTTTAACAACTCTGATATATACATTATAATTTTTGAAATGTATTTGTATTCGAGTACATTAGCTTAAAAATTTGCCAACCCTATTTGGTCTTTATGCTTCAGGAACAGTAAATATTTAATGTAAATTAAAAAGGATTCGAACCCTTTCTTTTATGGCCTAATTTAAGTTTATATTTTGCAAAAATTTTAGAATTCGCAAAATATTAAATCACTAAAACAAGAAATATTTCATTATCTCTCTCCCTAGCCTATACATAGGATGGACAAACTCATTATATAAAAATTGGACTTGATATCAATATAAATTCTAGGAAAATAAAATCATGGAATAGTCCTTTAACAGCGGTATCAATCAATTCCCTTAACGATAGCAAAAATAAACGTTATCGCGTGTCGCACTTTTATATTGGGAAACAGGTAAGAAATAAAAAGCAGATGCTAATTTATAATTCATAAAAATCTTAATCAGATTAGACAGAATTTTATTAAAACAATATATATACACCTTTTTGTTTTTAATAGGCTAGAGTAGTATTGTTAAGACTCCATTTGAGCCGATTTTTTAAAACGGCTAACTCAATATTTTAGCCAGAAAAATATTTTCTAAGCCTCGAGATTTAACTAATAGATCTTCAATTCAGACCTGCTATCCCGGATACATGTGCCAGGCCTTATTTTAATTTTATTATATACACCCCGGTATGTAAAAATATAAAACTAAGCTGTCGAAAAATATTTCTAAAAAAATTCTGGCCGGGTCGTGCTAATGGTACCTCTGCTTTAATTCCAGTTTGCTTTAGAGCAATATTATTACTCATATTATTTTGAGGATTATAATAACATTTTTTTTAATTCCTAAATTTAACAAATAAATTTTTAAATATAAAGTTAATTTCAATGGATAATTTTGTTACTAAGTTAATGGTGAGAGGTGTTTTTTACACTCAAATTTATATTACCTCAAAAATATAATAGATAGTATCTTAGAGAATGTCTTAATTAATATTTAAGTCTAATAATTGATCTATATTATAAGGATTGATGAATAGATTTAGATATTTTTAGAAACATATTCTGGAAAGTCGAAATTAGAAACTGGCATGAATGGAACATAATTTTTTTCCCGAAACGGAATGCAGAAATTCTTTTGTTCCAGGTCCCTGAATAAATTAAACTATATTTAAAAATTTTTTTTGGGAAATAAGGTGGACCACGAAATAATATGGGTATCGACAGTTATCGATTCATATGAAAAAATCATAGCCTTTTGTGATAAATTTGCCAACAAGGTAACATAGCGAATGATTTTATTGAATTAGAAAAAAATAATTAATTTTTTTTAAATAAGTGTTGTTAAATTACTTAACTTTGACCATCTCTATTTTAGCTTAGTCAAGCTTTTAGCCTAAAAAATCAAATTAAGAATCTAAGTTGAGTCTAAACTAGAAGATTGATTAGAATATTTCTGAATAAAAACATGGCTACGCTGTTTTATAGTTGACTAAAGTTAGGTGGTTTAACAACACTATTTCAAAGTTAAATTGCACATTTATAATAAAAAGTATCACATTTTGTATTTCCCCCAAAAGGTTCTATTAGGCTTTAACCCAGACGAATACACCGCAGGGTTGGGAGGGGGAGGCATAAACACGAAATTGCCTAGCATCTAACCGATTACACCCTAAGCTGCTTTAAAATATTCAGAAAAAGGAGCATTTATTTAAAAAAAATGTATTTTCTAATTTGAATCGTTGATATCTCTCAACCCACAAATTTCACATATATTTTTTAACCAAGTGACAACTAATTTTTATTAAACCAAGTTTTCTTTTGTAATCAAACTATAAATAACATTATTTCGTGTATGTGCACGGTTTTTTATTTAAAATTTATGTAAAACAGTGGCTGTGCATTATCAATAGCCATATATTTTATAGTAATGATTGACATCATTTGTGGAAGAGATTAATATTTAAAATATTTTACCTTTTTCTAAGCATTATTGTTAAAATTTAAGGTTTTCTTGTCTTGTGTCCCGATCTTTATATCCCAGGCTGATTATCTTGGCTGTGTGAGCTGGCAATACACATATAAATAAAATTCTATATCTTGCGGGGCCCTCTGATTTGCACACCCCGCTGTGGGCGTTTTGCTACGCTTCTGGTCAATATTATATTTTTGTTTATTTTAGGTGTCCACGTTTTCAAGTCAATTCTAAAAGAAGCTTTCTTAATGATTGGACTATAATTTAAATATTATTTATTCAACTTGTAATTATTTTAGTTATTATTAAAACATTTATTTGTAATTTTTAAAAATTATTTATATATTGCTGATGCTTTCAGGACGTTTTATTTTTTTGTTGTATTCTCTGAGCAAAAATCATATAACAATGAATGCTTGATCTATTATCAAATATAATAAACATCATAATTTTCGGGTTTCGATTCATATATATTTAAGATAACATAATATATTTTTATAAAAATTTCTAATTTCGTCTAGGTGGATTTGGGAAATATATTGTATTAATTTTTGTTATGGAATGTACTAAGTTGTAAAAAAATAAGATAATTACTTGATATTCGTTTAGAATGAAATGGCATTTTTTAAAATGGGAAACAATTTATTGATTTAAATTTGCAGCCACATGCATACAAAAATAGTAAAGAAAAGTATAGATTCACCGATACTTTTAAGCTAATATCCAAATTAATACTAGCATTGTTTAAGCCAATACCCAATAAATTATTAATATTTATTGAAAAAAAAGCAAAAATATAATTCATCAATATTCTCATTTTTTAAAATTTATTTATCATTTATAAAAGTAAATTAAAAGAAATAGGAAATTAAGATTAACCGCATAGGTTTAGAATTTTTTTACAAATTCATAGTAGACTTAAGAATTTAATTTATGAAGGTTATAATTTTTGAATATCGGCTACTGGTATTAGTCAAATATAGTATTGGTCAGCACCGATACTGACCAATATCCCATGAACATTGACCCAAGATCAGTATCAGTACATCTTTGATTTATCTGATTACTATTTTCTTAATCTTTTAAACATATGTATTATGTATATTCCTTTAATTCTGAAATCTTAATTTTAATATATGGAAATAGATTATAAAGATATAAATGAACGATTTACATTATAGGGTTTTCTTAAAAATAAATCACTTTAGTGGTTAAAAAAAATACACGATAATTATCGAGAGGATCTTTTTATAAAAAAACAATCCTAAATTGCCTTGACGTATTCTGCTGGGTAAAGCCCTACCTTATTATGGGAATCACGGCCCTGACACCAGCCCTGTTCATCTTTTTCAGCAAGTTGTTGCAGAATGTCTCCTCGAGTGAAACTAAGTTCGTCATCTTCCTGAGCTGAGTAATCGTAAAGGGCCCTGACTATCACGTGAGGCCTACCATCCATTCCTGGACTTCTATCAGCTGAATCTGCTATTTTTATTGTTATTTAAGAATATACATGAATAAATTTATCACACTCACTTAATTACCCAATAATACTTAATTCCCACAAGGCTCCTAGTAAAATATCTTAATCAGTTTGTAAAAAATTTGATTCAACCAGGGATATGAATCCTTTGGGAAAAAAGGTCCCAGTTCAGGAATAGAATATTAAAAAAGAGTTCGGGTCCAGGTTTGGAGAACATAAAGAAAATTAACTCAAAATAATATAATTTTTTAGGGGAGGGGCACGATAAAGTGGGGTTTTCTCCCATATATTTTATTGGTGATATTTAGGTCCACATATTATAGGATTTGGTTATATTCGATTTTTATAAAAATAATCTTCGATTTTCACCTTTTTCCCACAAATTTTGATTTTTAGTCGTTATTTTAAAAGGTTATTTTCTTTCAAATTCTTACTTATAATATTGTATACATTTTTTGGAGGGGGGTGGGGATTGAGGAGTTTGAGGGGGAAATTTATGTGAGCTTAAAATGATATTTGCGATTGGGAAAAATTTCTTCGATTCCCAACACTTTCTAAAATTAATATAAATTAAAACAGGATATTACCTATAAAATGGAAGTAAAAAACCAGTAAATTTTGAAAAATGCGAAGAGAAAAAAATGATTCATTCCAAAAAACATTAAATTTTTTATGGATTTAAAGGAAAATTTTTTTTAACACCTAGAACCCTTGAGCCTTTCACTTTTAAAGCAGGTTTGGGTCTAGAGAAAATAGGAGGGGATTCAACGTCATTTAAAATATTAATTTAAATTGTGTTTTTAAATCTTTAAAATAAACTAAGAAATCGAATTTGTTAAAAAGGGACCAGGATAAATAGTTTTGAAAGCATAATACGAGTCTGTGGAAGTAAATAAGGCTAATAGTAATAATAAACATAGAAGGTGCACTGTTGCGTTATTTCGCTTTTAATTTTATTAATAGTGTCATATTGTTTAACAAGTTTAAATATTTGTATTTAATTATTAATTTTTTTATAATTAGTTAAATTTGTTAAAGAATGTTTTGGGTTAAATTAATTTTAATTGAAAATAATTAGTGTAGCATTTTGGGTAAATTGTAGCAAGAAGAATATTTAGCAATAGATATTTAAATTAGTTTTAATAGAAAATTAGTAAAGAAATTTTTGCGTTGAGTTTAAGAAAAAATTAACAAAATATGTGGAGCTTCCATATAATATACTGAGTGCTCTAGTAATATAGTTAAGTTAGTTAGGAAGTCTGTACTTAGTGAGGCGGGTGCATCTGAATAGAAAGATTAGAATATGGGACTGTGGTAACAATTGAGGGGCATAATGGTGAAGAGAACAGACTTTAAAGAGTAATCTGCTTACCTTTAGTGAATATGATGCATGATTGGGATTGGACTGGTTTTGGTTGTAGAGATTCGGCAAGGTTGTTTGGTGTCGAGGAATAGGAACGTGGTATATTATAAATGTTGGGGTAAGAGGACACAGTGCCGTTGACTGTAGAGATATTATTAAATGTTTTGAGTTTGTCTTGGTAAGCATAACAGAATATGGTGTGCCTGATGAATGGTCAAATGTGGTTAAGGGCCGTGAGGATTCCTAATATGTGGTCAGAAGTTAGTGTGGTGATTAGAATAGTGTAATGTGGTTAAGAGAATGGCTGAAAAGTCCCAGCGTGTGGTGAGGTTTTGGTGGTGAAAATGGCCCAGTGTGTTTTAGGGGCTGGTTGAGGATTCTGAGCATGGCACTGTGTTAAGTTTTTGTGGGAGCGGGTCTAATGTGGTTTGAAAAGCTGGCTGAGTATTTCCGGTGTGATGGTATGTTGGAAATGCGAGGAGAGAAGGTAAAGATATTTTTATAATTTTTTTACGAAGAGACTCCATACTTTATTTTTTTTAAAAATGAAATAAATAGTAGAAAATAAAAGGCATACCGGTGTGGTATGGGTGATAGTGTGAATTCCAGCGTGGGAATGAATTAATTGGAATATTTGATAAATAAAAATAAATAGGCGTTTAAAGTTTGTTTTTATAATATAAAAGAAAATATATAAGATAGTATTTCCCAAATTGATAAAAATAATTTTGGTTCATGTGTCATACTTGTATTCTATAAATTTATATATATAGTGAATTTTATTTTGGGGTAGTTCAATTAAATGAGTGGTGAATTTAATGTGTGAAGAAGAAAAAAAAGTGATAATGAAAAATAAGTAATTCCTAATTTCAACATTTAAAAATTTTTGAGTTAGAAGTGGATAATATTTATTCCCAATAAATATAAAAACTAGATTAAAAAATATTAATTTTTGCCAAAGTTATAACTGTCAAAATTGATCAATAAGTTATTCCTAGGGCTGTGCCGATATTAAATATCGGATAGGCATCGTATTTAGCGTTTTCCAAAAATATCGGATCGGGCCGATACCTGTAAAAACCCGATCCGATCTTTTTACTTATCTTTTTTAAATTATTTTATATATATTTATTTTCCATTAATAATATTTTCTAAATAATTTTTTTTAAACAATGCACACAACACCCCTTTAATTTTATTTTTTTAAAATAGATTTATAGTATTTTAAAAGTTTTTTTTATAAAAATAGAAAGGAACACCCAAAGTTTTATTTATTTTAAATATTTTTAAATAATTGTATTATTTATACTTTAAATAAAAGAATTTTTTTAAATATGGTATCTGAATTATGGAAATATTTTACAAAAAAACAAAGATAATCTTTCAAAATCTGTGGAATTCTAATTTCACGGTGAGGAATAATGAAAATTCATTTAATATTACTAATATCCGTAAACCTTTTTAAAATTATTGTAAAAATAAAAAAAATTAAAAGCACATTAGATTTTTTGCATAAAAATATTGATTTCTAATTACATTTGGTTCAAAGGGGGTGGTGAAAAATCATTATAAATATCGGATCGGGTTTAAACCAATATCGGATCGGTGAAAATGTGGATCGGCACAGCCCTATCCTATATTTGATTTTAAACTTTAATGTTGATTTTCTCATTTTAAACATTTGCGCAAGTGGAGCACTCCAATTCTAGGCCGACGATTTATTAATTTATATATATTTAAATTAAATATTTTTTAGTGCCTCTGATCATATGAATTTAATTTTTGTTTATATGTAGTCTTGAGGAGGGGAATAGTTGAATTAAGACGGTAAAAGAAAGGAAAATTGTGAATAAATTATGTTTGTGTTTTAACGGTTGTGATACATTAATTAAAATTTCATGATTACTCTATATATTAAGCTTAAGGGTAGTGTTCTAATTTTTTTGGCATAGTTCTAGGAGGAAGGAAAATAGTACTCTAAATCGTAAGTGATAGAATATTTGGGAGTAATCATTTTAGGTTTTTGTCCTGGAGTTGATAAGTGGTGCAATCAACAAAACAATCCGAGGTTATTCTTACTCGTAAATAGTGTTGTTAAATGGCTCGTGTTGAGCCGATTTTTTAAAACGGATATCTCAATATTTTAACCAGAAAAATATTGCCTAAGCCTGGAGATTTCGATAATATATGTCTAGACCTTTGTTCCTTCTATGAGCAAAATCTTCAGGCTTTCGTAATATTTTTCTGGATGAAATATTGAGTTAGCCGTTTTTAAAATCGGCTCAAAACGAGCCGTTTAACAACACTACTCGTAGGGCGGAGGTATTGCAATCATTAGTGTTGTAAAAGAGGATTTTATAATGATATTTGTTATTATAGTAACATATTATTATATTATTGGATATTCGTGATTGGTTAGTTAGTCACGTAATGTCTTTGTATTATTTAATTATAATTTGGATAGGCAAGTCATGATTGACTCATGCCTTTTTAAAAATTATGATATTGGTGTTATTTATTTATTTTATTTATGTAGAATTAAATAAAAATTCGTTATAATACATTTTTTTAGTTTTTTTTGTCTTTCTTCCTAAAATTTCTTGCCTTGTTTAATAAAGTATAAATTAGATTCTGGATTTTAATAAAAAGTTTTACAGTGGCACCGCTTGCAATAGAGTAAACATTACCTTTAAGTTCAGAGGGTGTGGATGAGGGGCGACTTTCCAAGGACGCTCGTGGGGGCAGCGTTAAACGGCAATTAAAATCCTCGGGCAAATCGTGGTCAATTGAGTTATTGACTTCATCATTAATTTGGTGGGCTATTATTCTTGATTCATTTTTCAAATTATCATAGCCATTATTAAATGTGGGAGAGTCATTATTGTATTTGCTATAATCATCTTTTAAATGGACTCCCTCTTTGAGAACTATGGATTTAAGGGTGACACCAGAGTCTAGGTCAGTTCCACCCACCGCCTTTCCCACTCTTTTGCTGATACTGTGTATTTCAGGACTGTATTCCTAGGGTAATAAATATATTATTATTTAAAATTTCAGGCAATAATAAAAAGATGGTTTTGCTTTATAGAGGGTGGTATTATATTATGGTTTAAGAGCTTTAATCAGAGTTTAGAAAACTAATTGATATTCGAGAATATAAAATGTCTTAATGAATATGTAAATGATAATGTATTAAATATTCTAACTTCAAAAACGGGCCAATTCATAAAAGTGCCTATTCCATTTGTATTACTAAATAGGCTTAAATCTTTCGGTATATCCACAAAATCTATTCCGTTCCGTAAATCTTCGTATATTTTAGATAAACTGCCAAAAATATTAAAAATATATTAATAAAGTATGATAACTCGTCATATTGAGTGGGATCTAAGCTTTTTTGGAGTGTGTAGAGGATTTGCTTGAAAAAAGACATTCTATTTTCTTCCATCTTTTGACATTTTTCAAATACCTTTAGTGGTAAATAGTTAAATATTTTGTAAAAAAAAATCAAAAACAGAATATCTAATAGATTTTATTGAATTGTTAAACGATATTATTTTTAAATTTTGATGATAAGCAAAATTAATTTAGACCAAAAATTGTTTTAAAAAATAAAATTTTTAAAAAAGTAACTCAAAGTCTAGAAAATATTTTAAAATTCAAATAAAAACTACGTTTTTCGTTTTTAATTTTCACAGGCTTACTATGTATAATATCAAAATAAAATACTAACTTCTTTCATATCTTCCATGTATTTCGCGTTGCAATTATTGAGTTCTTTTAGGGAAGATTGGTACCTTTCTCTAGATTTATAAACATCTTCCTTACATCTTTCAACCTTTTCCCGTAAACGTTTTTGCTGATTAATATCATAAAATGAAATTTTAATTCAATCGAAGGATATTATATTTTAAAAAATAATTAACCCATTATGTTGGTTCTTATTTCCTGTATGTAAAATTTTAATTCTGTAAATATCAACAATATCTTAACAGGAATTTAAGTGATATGTACCATATATGGTCTTTAACCATTAAGCATATCAAATCAAAATCATCAAAAAATTTATGTTATTTCAATAAATAATAGATTTGGAGTCACTTTATCATGTCGACATTTTATTACAACGACACTTTACACGAGGACACTTTAACACGAAGACACTTTATCATGCGACACTTAAGAAAATTTTTTATTATATTTATTATTAACAATAAAAAAATTCTTATCTCTTAAAATTTCTGAAAAAAGGTATTTATCTATTTATATTTTTTAAGTCAATAGTTTTTTCACAAAGATTTATAATTTTTAAAAATTAAAAGGTCTTGAATTTATGTATAAATATAATTTTTTTTTTCTCTATATATAGCTCAATTTTCTATATTATTATATATTAAAGAATATATTTTTATTAATTAATGTTAGAATTTGGATTTACAACAAAAAATAAACCTACCCTCTTATATCAAAATTATGTATATACGAAATTTAGAACAAATAAAAATAAATCAATATGCTGGAGGTGCGCTCAAAATGAATCTCAAAAATGCAATTCTTTTATAACAAAATTTAATGATATTTCAAGAAGTCCCCTTGATCATACTCATAAAGGTGGCATTTCCAAATCTAATGCCAGAAAAGCTATATCAGAGATGAAATCAAAATTAAGTGAGTATTCTAATCCTTCGTTGGTCCATGCAACTACATTATTAAATTATGATAATAATACATAGATAGTTGTGCCAAATAAGTCAGCCCTTTATCGATCATTACAACGGCATAAAAATGCAGGCTCAGTCATTATATTGCCTCCAATCCCGAGGGAATGATAATTTACGATTTATAATATTGAGCTCGGACGAACTACTCGAAGGATTATCAAGATGGATATGTGATGGTACCTTTAAAATTGTACCTGAAATATTCTTCCAACTTTATACTATCCACTTTCAAATTGCACCGGCGAATCATGTTGGTATATATTGCGTATTACCAAGGCCCATACATATGCGCGGATGATAAACCTAATTTTTTTTTCCTTTTAGCTTTCACCTTTTCTGGTGGTAAGCTCCTTCAATCTCTCTCCACTTTATTACTACTATCTATTTTTATATTTCTGATGGATTCCATTTCGGAATATCAATCCCGATGGATCTCCCACAGGAGTATCGTTATCAAGTCCATTGTAGCTTGGATACATTGTGCTTAAACGGCCCCCGAGGTTACAATTATCCTAGCGCTGGCCAAGAGATCGTTATCATCCTTGAATGACCCACGAGTTCAGCTGGCCATCTTATTTGGTTTATTGGACAAGTATCCTAACACCCGGCTGTCCAAGCCTGTCGGTGACCGGAGGTGGCATTTCTCAGCTCAGAAAATCATCTTATCATATGTCTGTACACATCCGTCATCGAAGAAAAACCCGAAAATTTTTAGTTCCTTTCCAGAATTTAACCTGGGACCTTCGGTTTACAAGCATACATCATACACCACTAGGCCACCCCGGCGATAGATGATAAAAATAAACATATTATATATTTTAAGATATATAATTTAAATTTTATTTTAGGAACTGAAACAATTATTACCAGGGTATATGGAAAATATTGGTGGATTTCGAATAGGCACCGATAAATGCGTTTAGGGCAGGACATCCACTGCAGATATCCTTGGATGTTATTTTCATCTAAAACAGAGCGTTATTAGAAAAATAAATGATTTGGGATTAAAAGAAATGTATGAGTCTAATGATGACTTTCGATTGTATAGCAGGTGTTTATCGGCCTTTGCATATGTCCCAAAGAATAATGTTGGAAATTCATTTGATACCATAAAAAACGATTTGAATTATGGACTATAGGATTCTTTAATATTTTTAAAAGCTATTGCACATATTTCATGTAATTAAATATTTTATATTTTTTGCTCATGATATATTGATTTATAATTATTTACTATATGTCATGATAAAGTGTCGCGGATATAATGTTGCTAGGCGATTACTCCACCAGAACATTCGTTGTTGTGTAATACGCGCTTAAATTTTTTTAAATTTCATTAGCATTGAAATAATATAATCAGAAATCCTATTCATTTAATTTTCATAAACAAGATATCGGTAACTATAAAAGAATAGAGATCATCTTCGAAAAATTAAGATAAATAATTATGTAGAACGTTTTTCAACGAAATTGATTTTAGGGAGATATTATTATTTTTATTTCTTTTATCGATTTTTTGGATTGTTATTATTTTTTATTTTTTTTTATCGATTTTTTTGAATTGTGACTAATTTTTTTTTGAACAATTCTTGGAATTTGTATTTTTTGAAAAAAGATTTTTTTTTTTTGTTTTTTTCTTAGAAAATGAAAATAAAAAATTGTATTTTTTTGAAAAAGATTTTGTTTTTTTCTTGGAAAATGAAAAATAAAAAAGTTGTATGAAAAATAATAAAATTGAAAAAAGAAAATCCATTCAGCATTAAGGAAATATAACATTATTTAAGATTACGTAAATCTCGACTTAGAAATTCGACGACTTAGAAATTCAACAAATAAGGAATCTAACAGAAATGACTAAGCGTTCGTATTTTAATCACTTCTTTGCTAATTAAAGAAGAAAAAGTACCTTCTTTTTTCAACGAAATTTCTCAAATAGGCCTATTATAATCACCAAAATTCGGCCTCCCTATCCTGCTATATTGGAAAGATTAGAATTATCTAATTATCCTCTATATTTTCTTCGTCGCTGACAACATTGCATTGAGGTGGAGGTATGATAATATAAGAGGGTTCGGAAAAACAATCAATAGTAAATTAATGCATTCGTTAAATTCTAAAAGTTACATACATAAATTTTTATTAAAACTTTGATTTACTCAGATGATCCTAACAGAAGGCGCGTAAGAAAGCGGGGAAAATTCAGATGCCGGCTATATATTTTTCAAAAATATTACTGATTCCTACCTCTTGTCACATATATATTCCAATTTACATTTATTTATCACATTCATAGCAATAAATACACTACTAATTTATTCTATGAATAAAATCGATTTCAAATTTTCTTTGACGTTATATTTATTATCTACCATTTAAAAAAAATTGCCACCAAATCATTTGAAACTTTTTCACTGCAAAACTTGAGTTAGCCGTTTTTTTTAAATCAACTCAAATCAAGGTGTTTAAAAACCGTGCAAGTACTACCTCTGAAAATAGATTTAATGGGCGTTAGAAGTTCTTAATATATACATAAGGAGTTCATGCCATGCATTATAAAATCATTGGGAAATCAGCTCAATCCCAATCAAAATTGAATTTTACATTATAAATTTATAATAAGCTTCATAATTTTATTTTTTCCTATATTTTTAATACATCATAATTTTTTTCATGAATATTTTGTAAGCTTATTTACATGCAGTTCGTAACTATTTTCGTGTATATTTCCAAATTTTTTTTCAATATAATATAAATTTATATAACTCCCTCGACAAATACAGCAGATAAAAATAATAAATCCCTATTTCCCAACCTCATAGTTTTCCATCCTATGCTTGTCATTCTTTTCATAAAAATTTATATTTTTTTACAAATAATATAATTTAATATTTTATAGTCACTAGTCCTAATAAATTTTTTATACTTAAGATATTCTAAATAACTCCTAGAATAATCTAAAAAAAATTTAATTGCCACTCCTCCTACCCATAGTAAATTCCTGCGTACGCGCCTGTAACAGACAGGCTGAACATATTATTTAGCATTTTTAGAATATAAAAGAAAATAGTTATTAATTTGCAAAAAAAAACAATAGGATGAAGAAAATCTACATTTTTATAAAGCTCATTATAATCCCCATTATAATTATCATTTAAACCAGAGTTTGAAACATGACCAAAAATGGTTCTGGTTTCAGTTTTGAAATTTAATGTGGTTCCAGGGTTTCGGGCTCCGGTTTAAAATTCTATTAAAGTAATCAAATAAAAGTTAAACAAAATAAGTCTAAAATGAATCACACAACATTTTAAACAATATATATAAATAAATTACTCGAACATTTGTTAGAACCGGTTCCTAAAAATTTTAAAATGGGTTCTCTTTTATAATTTTTAGGAAAGTTCCAGGATCTGGTTCCAAACTCTGATCTAAATAAATTAATTCGATTATTTTAATAAAATAAGAAATGGATAAAATTTTATTTCAAAATCAATTACCATAAATGGTATGTTAATTAACAGTTAGCCAAAGCCATTAAACAGATTGAAGTACAAAAAAAAGACGTTATATTACTTCCTCTGGAGATTTACTAGTATCAGATCTTGAATTACTTTCTTGAATTACGGCCGTTTTTTCATATTTACACATTAAATGATAAAATTTCTTTGTTTCTAAAACTTTTTTGTATAATTTTGCCCATGGTTTTTGAGTCTAAGCCAAGCAAAGTATTTTTTTAAAATAATTTAATAGAATAATCCGTGAATTAGCAAAATAATATTTAATCATTTCAAGAATTAACCCTTCATTTCACAGGTGGGACTCAGACACCAGTCATTTAAAAAACGTTATTACTTAAAATTCTTTCAATATTTTTGCCTGAATCCATTTAGTAGCCTAGCATTTTTTGATTTTTTTCAGTAGTTTAAAAGTTATGAGTTTTTTGGGGCTTGGGGTCAATAGACCCCACCTGTTCATATATTAAGCATAAATAAACATTTTTTATATTTTATTTTTATTAATAAAAGTTATATTATATTTGAACCTTAGATAAACATTTTTACATCATCAATTTTATTTATATATTTTTTTAATCACATTTTGACATTTTAAAATAATTTGTCACTTTTTTGACTCCCTTGATAAGAACTGTCATATAATAACAAATTAACATTTAATTATTAAAATAACAGTTAAATCATTAACTTATAGTTTTAAAATATGGAAGCTACAAATAAATTTGATTTTAATATATAGTGCTGTATTAGGGTCTGAGGGACCTCATCTATTAATTCGCGTGATTTTTTTTGACCTGTTTAATGAAGGGTTAAGAAGTATTTTTATGATATCAACCTTCCTAAATGTTTCTTCCATTTCTTTAGCTTCTTTGATTTGGTTGAGGGGAACGACGGATCTATGAAAATTTTCCTTTTGCCAATCTTTAATGGCTCTCAGGACATGAGCTGATAGCCCATCGCGTATACTTATATGAATCCTGGCTAAGCGTTCAGATTCGTTGAGGGAGCATTTCCAAGCAGAATGCATCGTCCCATATTCTGGGCCTAATACATTAATTTTTATTATATTTATTCTACTAATATTTTCAACATTTATTATGTTATGTTAACCTTAAAATTTAACATTTTTGAAGATTTAATATGAAATAAAAATTTTTTGATAATTTTTGTCAAGAGTGTCGATCAAGCCAAATTGCCTATATACCATATTTCATATTTTTACTATATCTATTAAAAAAATAGGTAAGGTGATAGTTTAATAGGTGTTCCCGACATGCGCAGTAGGTTTTGCATTTTAAATTAAAAAATTTTTAAAGTTTATTATAAAATTGTCTGAAATTTATAAGGTGGGTATTATACACCTATCAAAATGCATTTTCGGCAAAATCGGATTTTTGAATTTAAAATAACGCGCTCAAATAATAATTTAAAATGCAAAAATAACAAAAAATAAAACAATACCAAACATAGTTTAATCATTAATTTAAAGATGATTAAAAATTACGTAATTATATAGAATATATCTAGTATCAAAATCCTATACTTTTTTATTTTTTTCTCTAGTGGGGGGGGGGGGGGGGGCAGAGGTTCAAGTCATCTGAAAATTTTTAATGGTAGATACAAAAAAGAAGGTCAATTTTGAGCCCCCCACCCCCCGAGATTGTAAAGTGAACAAAAACATTGGAACCATGTTCAAAAAAATATCGATAAACAAATACGATACAATTTCAAAGAATTATAGATCACAAATTATATTCTTAAAAATCTAATATTTAATCTATTAAATATACGCAAACTTTTATATTAATTTTAGAATAATTAAAAACCCAGGTTTCTTTAATATTAATACATATATCGTCGACGTAGAATTGGAGCGATCCACTTGCGCAAATGTTTAAAATGAGAAAATTAACATTAAAGTTTAAAATCAAATATAGGAAAAGCTTATTGATCAATTTTGACAGAGCTATAACTTTGGTAAAAATGAATATTTTTTAATCTAGTTTAATTTTTATATATATTGGGAATAAATAAGTTATTATCCACTTCTAACTCACAAATTTTGAAAATTTCGAGTGAGCACTTCAATTCTAGACCGACGATATGTTAGCAGCAATGTGTTATTTTTTCAACTTTAAATTATTTTTTGAGTGCGTTTTTTTAAATTTAAAAATCTGATTTCACCGAAAATATATTCCAGCATGTTTAGGAATATATATTATTAATTTCCGACAATTTTGCCATAAACCTTAGAACTTAATATAATTTATATAAGTTTTTCCATATATTTTTTATAAAAATTATAAATGACTTATAGGCTAAAGACAAAATTGTCTACAATTCTTAATATAGGTATTCTAAACATACTGGAATATATTTCCGGTAAAATCAAATTTTAAATTTTAAAAAACGTACTCAAAAAATAATTTAAAGTTAAAAAAATAACCGGAAAAACACATAGATGCTTATGGTATCCCGTCATTACAGAGAAAACAATTATAGAGAATGTCGATAGAGAATGTATTTTATAGAGAATGTATTTTACAGAGAAATTTTTATAGAGAAAACAATTATAGACAATGTCGATAGAGAATGTATTTTATAGAGAATGTATTTTACAGAGAAATTTTTATAGAGAAAACAATTATAGGGAATGTCAATTATAGAGAATGTAGTAGAGAACTGCACGGGCTGTCCGTAGCCCGACCCATCAAAAAAAAATTTTTTCGGGTTCGGGCTCGGGTCGGGTTGTAAAAGCTGTCCGACCCGAAAATAAATAATAATATTAATATCTTAAATAGTCAGTATAATTTATAATATTAATTATAAAATCATATTATTTAATATTTATCACATTTTAGGATTAAAATGTCAATCATATAAACATGTCATGTCATTATTAATTATTATTTTATAAACCTAACAACCGGATACCAAACTATTTTATCACTAAATTGTGTGTTTCCCGTGAATTACAAGATAAGACATATTTTATGTACTAAAGATAAGTTTTATTCATTATTTATCTAGCCTATTATACATTGTCTTTTTTAACATTTGTTTTAAAAAATTTCCATATAAAATTTAAGATTGGGATTTGATTCAGGGGAACTTATTTCTAATTTAAATTTCACTACCATAAATGTTAATCATCCTAGAAATTAAAAAATATTATATAAAATTGGTAATGATATTCTAAGTTACATTTATATAAAAAATATAATCTTTACTTATTTCGTTTTGGTATTATTATTTTTTTATCTATCTACCTTAATATGAGTTGTAAATTTTCCAGCTAATTTTGGTTGTCAATATTTTAAAATATAGCAGAAAAAAATTAGGAAATTAATACAAGATTCTCAAAGAAAATAAGATGTATACTGTGATATGTAAAATTTAAAACATGAATATTAAAAAAAATCTGTATCTGTATCTTTTGTCAAGAAAATGAAAAAGATACAAGATTCTTTTAAGAATTAAGGATCTTAGATACAGATATCAGTATCTTATTAAAAATGTCAAAATATACTGAGTACAAGATATAAAGGGATCTTGTATCATGTATCTTTAGATACAAGTATTCGCAGTACTGCCCAACTCTGTTTATTTCAGTCTAATTGATTAAAGTCATTTTAAATATTTTTTTTAGATTTTAGACAAAGCCATATTAAAAAAAATATCTCAATGGATGCAAAATTAAATTGGTGAAAAGATAAAGATAAAAGAGTATAAAGTAAGGAGAATCTTAATGGAAAATCCGATGTATGGAAGAAATTTTCATTTATATATGATGAAAATAAAGAAAAACTTAATTATGTCATTTGTATTATATGCAAATTTATTTATGTATATAATTCAATAACAACAGGTTAGATATTTATACATAAAATATGATCTTATTAAATTATTTTAGGCGGCTAGCAGTGAAAGGGCGTTTTCAGCTGCTGGTAGGGCCTTTGAGGAGAGAAGGACTCGTTTAAAGCCAGATAAACTGGACGCCTCTTTATTTATATATCATAATTATTCACTTTGTGATAATTTTGATAATGATATTGATGAAGTCAATATAATATAATATGTTCATTATATTTTTATATATTTATTAACTTTTATATCATTTCTATATTCGCATAAATGATGCTTATTGTATTATATAATCGTTATAATTTTTAAATTCGCTTGTATATTAATCGTTTTATAATATTTTTTACAAATTTAATAAAATGCAACTTAATATATATCTTGAATAGATTATGGCCGTCAAATAAACTTTTATTTAAGGTGGCTGAACTGAATAAATACACATAAATTTTTTTTTATTATAATATTAAAACTTAAATTGCAAAATTTTATTCGGATCGGGCTCGGGTCGGGCGGTTTGGACTAAAAAATGTGTGCTGGGCTCGGGTCGGGCTCGGACAAAAGGATTTTTTAATTCGGGCTCGGGTTGCGAAAAAATTACTTTGCAGTTCTCTATAATGTAGTATATAAAGTGATTTTACAAAGAATGATTTTATAGAAAATGATTTTACAGAGAATGATTTTATAGAGAAAGATTTTACAGAGAATGATTTTACAGATAATGATTTTATAGAGAATGTATTTTATAGAGAATTATTTTATAAAGAATTTTATTTAAAGAATATGATTAATACCTTTTGTATAAGAAGTTTTTATAAGATAAACCTAGATAATCTACTAAATAAGAGCTTAGCAATATTCATTTCAAAATATAAAATAAATTTTTATTCATAATAAATCCAAATAAACATAGTATAAATAATATACCAATATAAAAGATACAATTATATGATTAAATTAAATATTTAAATTTATATTTGGGATAAAGCCCTTAAATAATCCAGCATGGTTCTTGAATGAAAATCTTCAACAAATTAAAAAAATCCTTTTGGATCTTTCGCGATATTCTTTCTTTGACAGTGGAGCCAATAGACCTATAGAATATTGTTCCAATTAGTAACAATTTAGGCTATCTTCGTCTTTGAGAGCTAAAATTGAAAAAGTTTTTAAAATTTATAATATAATATAATTACTAACTCTTTATAAATTTTCAGATAGTTGGATGATGGGAACTTATATGAGACGAAAAATTTCGATGCCAGCCCTCTACTGAATTATTGGTATTCGGTTCACGAGAGTCGATTCGTAGTAATTCCATCTATAAATGATATTGCCGACCTCTTCTCAATCGCTATCATTTTTCCAATCCACGTCTCTTCAAAGTATTTTATCAAGAGGGCGAGAATATCCCTATTTTCTTGATAGTATTCAGAGGCACATAATTTCTCGAATCCATGCATCCTCAACTGATACATATGCCAGTGACATTAACATTTTTATGTACATAGCAAAATTTGTTTGTGTTTTGTATGCATTGCAAATTAGCAGATATTTTTGAACCGTGCGCCATATGCATTGCGACATATGAAACAGGCACCCGTGCATTGCAGTTAGTGGAAAAAAATGTTTAGCAGATAACACTGCTAATTCAAAGCCGATCATGATGAATTTAGAATTTAAAAAAATTTGGAAATTTTTTATTTGATTGAAAATATTAATGTAATCTGGCGATGTGACGTTATCAGAACATAAATAGCGAGGATATTGGTTTTGTTTCATCCCGTGGATGGTGTATATTTGCTGGAAGCGAGGAGGGCATGTCTTGAATGTGCCATCTTCATACAATTTATCTTATATGTTGATAAAAATTGTAAATTTTTGATGGTTGAAAATATGATGCATCGGTGATCATGATGACCACTATCATATGACAAAAATTGTTCATTATTATTGGATAATTGATATTCAATTGGTATGACCAAGTCAATCAGGCTCACGGGAATGGCAGGCGCTCTTTCTACATTATTATACAGAACTGATTTAAATCTTAGCCAATGAATACTTATTATTAGATTTAACGTATTGATCCGGTTAGCCCGGAATCTACTATCCACTAGATACTAATATAATTATAACCTTCTAAAATTTTATTCAAACATGATATAAGATTAGAAAACTTTCTGAAAGTCGAAAATAGAGTTTTGTATTATTATGCAATTTTATATTTAAACTCTTAATATTTTAATGCCACCAAATATAATGATATTATCTCTGCGCTCTATTAATGTTTTATGAAGTAACTATTGCTAATTACTTATGAAAAATAATTGTAACTAGTGACTAGTTATTTTAAAAAAAGATAACTAGTAACTAGTTATATTTTCCCAAATTTAACTACTAACTTAGTTATAGTTGCATTGCCAAAGTAACTTTTAACAACACTTTCTATTTTATTTTGTATTCTTATCTTTAAAAATAAATTTCGCGAATTCCTCACAAATCATGTCAAAATTTTGTTCTACCATTAATTCTTCTAATAATCGAAAAACCTTGTGCAAAGATAATCAAACAAATTTCTGTACCGATTGTAATAATTTTATATAACAAAAATTACCCAATTATTCGCTTATATAAGAATTCTAATATTTAAAATTATTTCAAATACTGTAATTTTTTTGTCCCTATGACTATCCAGAGCCTAAGTAATAATTACACAAATTTACACAAAAATGTCATATATTATATAGATAAAACATTTTATAAAATAATCATATTCTTAAAAAAAATTCTTTATAAAATAATTCTCTATGAAACCTCTATAAAATCATTCTCTAAAAATACATCTCTCTATAAAATCATTCTCAATAAAATTGTTAGCGGCAATGTATTTTTTCATCTTTAAACCATATTTTGAGCGCGTTTTTTTTATTTAGAAATTGGATTTTATCGGAAATGTATTCAATCATGTTTGGAATATCAACCCTATGAATTTCAGATAATTTTGTCTTGAACTTTCGAATTTAATAAAATTTATATTAGTTTTTCCATAAATTTTTCATATAAATTATAAATGACTCAAAAGTTAAAGGTAAAATTATTTAAAATTAATAAGATAGGTATTCTAAATATGCTGGAATAATTTCCAGTAAAATCAGATTTTTAAATTTAAAAAAACGCGCTCAAAAAATTAGTTAAAGTTGAAAAAATACACATTGCCGGGAAAAACACATTGCCGCTAACAGATATATATATAAATCAACTAATTAAAACTTATCATTTGATTAATTGAAGTTTTAATTAATATTTTTTTAAACATGATACTTTTCCAAACCTGAGCTATGTCCACCTCTAACAAGTCAAAACCGTGTGCAGTTAATTATGATATAAATATTTATAAATAGATACTTTAAAAAAACATTTGAAAAAAAATGTGTAAATAAATATTCCGACTACTCCACGCCAACCTTTGATATATGCTCTAACTTCCAAATTTTATAAATATTAAATAGGGATAAGCAAAACTATTCAGAAATTAAAAACTTATTTGCATACCTTTGTCCATTTTCTCATCCCATTTCTTGGACCAAGCTCGAAGGGCCTTAGCATAGCCTTCCTCAATTGCGCCCCTCTCTTGCAACATGCTTGAATATTCCGTGGAAAGTCTATAACCATCCTCTATTCTTTTTACTGTACGTTTATATTGTCCTAGATCCCAAAAACTGGTTCCTAAATCTCCCATCGTTACCGCTTCATCCAGCTCTCCACCTGGCTGGTATCCATCTCCCTGTGAATGGGAATTGTTAGGAGATGTTTTGTACGACATATCAAGGAACAAGGCAATAATATTTAGTATTTATGATTTGAAGAATTCCAAGGAATAATATTTTGATCACTAAAATTTATTTATGAAGTAGAAGATTGAGTTTAGCAATCCTATCAAAAGGAAGAGTATAATTGATAATTAACTTTGAAGTCATAGTTTTTTCATATGGAATGCTAATACTCGTCAAAAAAATGAGCAAAATTAATTTTTCCTAGATGTCAAGAAAATAGTATGCGATCTAACTATTTTTCGAAAAATTTTTCAAAAAATATTCGAATACATAACGAAATTATTGAAAAATTTGGTTGCTAGATAGACAGAACTATAAATCGTCCATGGTTGTAGAATTGATTTTTTATAAGGTAAAGGATAATAAAACCATTTTTCCAAAAAATGAAGCGCTTCCAAATCCTAAGTATTTTTTTTAAGAAAGTATATAGTAGTATTTAGTAAATTTTAATTTTTGCTTACAACAAAATATGATTTCTAGAAATTACCAAAAAAACACTCGATCAAAATTAGCATTTGATATATTTATTTATAGCCTTTTTTTAGTAACATAGTGAATTAAAAAAAATTATGGTGTTTTATTTCAATATCACCAAATATTTGTATATAATTTATATTTTTATCTGTATTATAAAATTAAGCAACGCGTCTTTTTACACTTTAAACGCTCATTTCTTCGAAACTAATAGAGCTGAAACAATAAAATTTCGATTCCAATAATCCTCACAACACAAAATACCTAAGCATTGTAAAAAATTCATATAAAAAATAAAATGTTTCTCGATTTGTCAAAATATCTAAATTAAAGACATGCAATGAAAAACTCCAGCCTGACACTTGCGGTATCTAGGCCCAACCCGTGGTGGCCCGACAATCTCTATTTTCATATTATACATTAAATAATTTAACTATTCAGCATTAACTTTGATATTTAAAGATGATTATCTATTTTATTCTATTTATTACAAAATATTATATGCAAATGAATAGTAAATATTTAATACATTATCAATATCATAAACACGGGAGAATTTTTTGGGTAACCCCTCCCCCCCCCCCCCCCGGAAAATATAATAGGTAAAATTTTGTTCTTTCGTAATCGTAATACTTTTTAATATCAAAATGAAAATTTGTCTTCATTTTTTTTTAACAAAACCCCCTCTTTAATTTTATATTTCTATAAAATCTATAAATTTAAACAATAACATTCAGATATTAACATAAAAAAATTTTGTTATATAATTATTAAAAAAAATTAGAAAGCAAGACATTTTCCAACGCAAATAATTCGTATGCGATCCATGTTTGAATTTTTCTATGCATAACTGTAAAAGAGCACTTAATACTAGTGGCGTATTTTAAATTTTAGCAAAAAGTTAAAATTAATTTAAATATTTCTTCCTTGTGTATCAATATTTTATCCCAAAGTTTAACTTCCAAAGAAATTCTATTTAATTTATCTCTACTAATAAGATTAGACAGATTTCCTAGAGTGTAATAAATGTTCATATATGAATTTGCTGGATAGAATTATGTCTGAGACTTCTTGTACCACAAAAAGAATGAAATTGTAAAAAGCGTGCCCGGCAAAATGCAGCCTTGGACATTAATCTGTTACAGCATTTTTGAATATGGAAGAGTCTATGCCCTTGGATAAATATTAGAATGGGCTGAAACAGATATTTCATCTGAAATAGATACGTAATTAGATTCAATATGACCTCCGAATTTTTTGCATTTTACACCACAATTTTATGCAATATTTTTCAAAAAAATGGGATTTGGCTGAAGCTATGATAATCGCGATTATTAATATATTATAAGTTAGAAAACAAAAAGATAATATCGACTATTCCAAGAGATTTATGTGATTGAGGCGAAAGCTAGGAAATATGACATTGAAATTCGTAAACCTAGATTTGCACCTAAAAAAACAAATGGTTGTAATATTATGGATAAAACTTGGACTTTATTGAGGATTACTCTTACATAACCGTTTTTATTCTTTTGGATAAGTTTTTGAGTCAAATCATTTAACGATTTGTAATTCATCAAATGGCTCGACTTATTTATAAATTCTATTATCTATAAATCCTTTAGAGGATATATAAATATCGCCTATTAATTTCTAAATTTAAATCTTGGTATGAAAGATTATATTTAAATCTTCCATGAAACAATACAAGCATGGCATACTTTAAAATATATTTTGGAGTTTTGTCAAATATATTAAAATTATATTTTGGCAAGATACCAATTAGTACGTAAAAAAGAAAATCTTTGCTTTATTACGGAGAATAAAAACCTATCTCATAAGTATGAACATCTTAAAATCGATTGAATGGACTAATTTTACTTATTAAACATTGAGATTTAACCCCATTCAGAACAAATTATTGAAAAATTGGCGCAATCGCAAAGATTAAATTTTCATTCATAAACGATATTTGATTCGCGTTTTAAATCATCATAAATGTTGAATTATATATTTTACTGTGATGTAATACCGGGGTCATTCCACATCAAATGAGCAAAAAAATGAGATTTTCGGCCGACCCCTTTCGATTTTTTTAAAATTTGGTAAGCAAAGAAAGGTGCCTCCTAACATTTATATTTTTGAAGATATTAGGGTTCAAAGTGGCAAAAATGACGTATTTTTACCATTATCTGCCTTCATTCTATTAAGCATATCTTAAAAACTACATAATTGTAAATAACAAATTTAATATCAAAATTACGTACAAAGATTCTACCGGTCATTTTATTTAATATATAAGGACTAAAAACAATTTTTTGGAAATAATACGACCTTCAATTTTTAAAAAAATTTTAGTAGACATTATTTAATTCTTCCTTTATTTTTATAAAAAAAAATTAATCTAGGACGCGGCCATCTTCATTCTCAAAATCGATAAAAATGTTTAGAAAAGTGTATAAATATTGTCCCGAAAGGGGGCGTCTTTGTATAAAATTATATATTAATCAGTTTTTAATGGTTTTTTTTGGACTATTTGATATAATTTAAAAGATTATTCATCTTGTAGTGAAAATAACAATAAATGGGGCTTTCGTTCAATTATAGAAATTGTATATCGATAAAAGAAATTCAATTTATTACTTTATTTATAATTTATTATGAAAATTTTGCCCATATAGCATAAATTTAAATGAATATTAATAAAATATATTTAACCAAGTTTATAGTTCTTGAATATATGAATCAGAATCTTGTACATTTCATAGACGCCAAAAAATAATATCAAAATTTTCTCTACTCAATTTTTTAAAATAATTTGATAATTTTAAAATATTACAAATATTAATTTATTATCCTTACTAAATTAGAATAACAATAAATAAGTGTTTCAATCAATAAAATAAATAAAAATTTTAAAATTGATTAATCATTCAATAATACATGCTCACTATATTAATTTTTTTAATTAATTTATTGGTATTTTGATTTCTATCAACACCTAACCCCAAGCCTGGAAAAACTATACGAATATACAGCTAAAATTGTATAAGAATTTTATTGTATGGACGAAATAAGCAGAATCATGCTAGGCAAGAAAGATTGCGTTTCGATTTTGACCAAAGACGGAAAAAAGAATACCATACATAAGAGATTAATTTTAGATAATTTGAAAGAAATTCATATATTTTTTAAAGAAATGAGGCCTGATGTTAAAATTGGTTTTTCGAAATTTGCAAGCATTCGCTTAAAAATTGTAAACTCGTTGGAGGTAGTGGTACACATGTATGTGATTGCAGCTACCACCAAAATTTTAAATTAATGATCATTGGATCAAATTCACCCAAATTAACCAATGATATGTTGCCCTTTAGGAACATACAAACATATTTTACACTTAATAATTTGTAATTCGCCTCAACCATCCAGTTTATATGGGAAAATGTGATAATTGTCCAGGGTCAACACATTTACGCGATCAAATAGAAATATTGTTTCGTTCTAAGGACATCGAATTTATAACATACAAACAATGGCTATCCGTAGATAGAACCATTCTTACCAGTAGGTGAATTTATCAATGCCTTTTTGAAAAATGGAATCTTTATTACTCCATTTTTTTATTTCAACGCAACAATCGTTGTATCAAAACAATCTAAAATTGAACTTAGACTAAGACCAATATTTAATTTTATGTGATTTTTAAGAAAATTATAACTTTATACTTCAGGATGAAGTACAAAATTATCATTGGAATAGGGCTCAATCCACTGCTCACCCTTTTGTTATATATTATAAAGATAATTTTGCCAATATTTGTTGCCTAAATTATGTAATGATATCCGAATCTTTGCAACACAATACAATAGCAGTACATAATTTCAAAAAAACATTGGTAAATTTTTTAATTAATAAAATTTGTAGGCTTTTTTATTTTTCCGATGATAAAAATCGTAAAAATTTTATTAATATTTGCCATCATGAGATGAATTTCGGGGTACAGGCGAAATGGCATTTTTCTGCTATAGCACTCGGGAAAAGTGTTTGTAATGGGATTGGTGGCACTGTTAAAAGATTAGCCGCTAGAGCTAGTTTACAAAGCCTTACTCAAAGTAAATAACCACATCAGATGAATTGTACGAGTTAAATAAAGAAAATATTAATGTCATATATTTTGAATAGATGACCAAAATAAATTATGATTACGAAGATCTATTACTCAGGGAAAGATTTTCAAAAACTAGATCTATACCTGGAACACACAAAATACACACCTTGATTCCAACAGATCTACATCAATTTAAAAGTAAAATGTATTCCAATTCAATAGAAAGTACTATAGAATAGTTATCATATAATGATGAAAGTATGATTATTGAAGAAATATCAGGATACCTAACGTATCCTTATGATTCTAATTGGTGGTTAGCTTTGTTTTAGTGAAAAATTAAAAGCAGGAAGAAATATATATAAAGTTTTTAACCCATCCGGACCTTCTAATTCCTTTACATTTCCAAGTATAGACGACACTCTTTACTTGCCCAAATGTCATATCTTAACATTAGTTTCACTGTTAACTGCTACTGGCCGTAGTTATAATGTTGTCACAAGAAAGTAAATGCGCTACCGAAAAATTAGAATCTTTTAAAAGTGAGTTATTTATTAGATTTTTAAATTTAAATTATATCAATTTTTTAATATTTAGGGTGCCATATATGAAATGCACAAGATTCTGATTCATATATTCAAGAACTCGAAACTTAATTGAACATATTTTATTAATATTCATTAAATATACGTTATATGGGCAAAAAAATTTATAATAAATTATAAATAAAGTAATAAATTGAATTTCTTTTATCGATAGACAATTTCTATAATTGAATGAAAGCCCCATTTATTTATTTTCATTTACAAGATGAATAAT